TTGTAGGTTTATTAACACCCCTAGCAATACTGTAAGGTTATTGAACCGACCATCTACAAAAGGATCGAGCCAAGAGGGAAAATTCGTGTACAGTGCCGTCCTTGGGGACATAACGTTGGACAGAGCTGAGCCTCCAACCCCCGAACGTGCAATCTCATGGTTACGTGTTCGCTAGGCTAACCACTACTAGTGTTCGCTAGGCTAACCACTACTAGTGTTCGCTAGGCTAACCACTACTAGTGTTCGCTAGTCTAACCACTACTAGTGTTCGCTAGTCTAACCACTACTAGTGTTCGCTAGGCTAACCACTACTAGTGTTCGCTAGGCTAACCACTACTAGTGTTCGCTAGTCTAACCACTTAATTAAGACACGACTACCGGCGCCACCAGGCATCCACGGAATCTACAACTGATGAATGCTTCTTTTATAAGCACCCCCCACCCCACCCCAATTTTTCCACATCATCTCAGCCATATTCCTTGGCCCCTACTGACCTCCCCCCCCCCCCCTTTCACATTGTTTTCTATTTTAGAGGCTTCTGCCTTCAAAGTGCTTTTTAATCCCCTTTAGATCCACAATAATAAAGATGTGAAGGAGGGAGACCGGGTTGTTAGTTCATATCGTTTGTGCTGCGCATAGAGCGTTATGTTGAGCAGGAATATTTCGCGCTATACAAATCAATGCTGTTTATTATTATTTTTGGTAGTAGTAGGTAGTAGTAGTTTTGTCATATCATTATCCAAAACTATACTCTTACCTTGACTTGGTCATTGAGATTGTTCGGATCTCTGTTCTCCAGGTCGATGATATTGTCGTCGCTAGACATAGCGAAGGTCACCCGTATATCGCCTGAACTTGAAGATGCTGAATGGGTAGGCACAGGATCCAGAAGTCCGTCACGAAAATGACGTTAGGTTTCAAGTTCTTGTCAGTATTTACTTTACAGCTACTACCTTTTATAGATTTGACAACAGCAAAATCTATGTTAGTATAAGTCTTGTATCCTATCCAGGAAGATCGTTCTGTCTTTCTCTGCATCAACCACTTTTGGATTAGCCAAGGGGTTGTTCCTTTAGCTGAGATTAGTTCACTTGAGTAATCAGCTTTTTAAACAAAAATTTGTCAGTGCGTTTCTTCAGCTGAATCCGTTGTCCGTGAAGAAACTTTGGTGTAGAGCTTCTCTATGACGGATATACTCTGATCATCATCCCGTGAAGAAGGTCCACTTATAAAGAGTTAGGGATCTCTGATGTATTCAGATGGTCAGTGTTTCTGGGGGGATCCTCCACAACATACCAAATTATTCATACGTGCCAAGAGTCTCCTCATAATAATTATTCCTCTCAGGAGAGATGGATCGGGAAGCGTTCTGCCTTCCTGGTGACGTGATGAATCACATAAGAGCAGAGAACAATACTCTCGACTTTCGACTTCTGTAAACCGCGGGCAATGAGAGCTTTTCTTACTTTATTTATCACAATGTTACTTTGGGGCATTCATGCTTTTTGTTCAAGGTAGATGTTACAGCATGGAGAATTATGATGAATGTGGATGTACTCATAGAGAATTATAATGGATATTGAAGTACTCATAGAGAATTATGATGAATGTGGATGTAGTTATGATGGATGTGTATGTACTTTGGTGCATCCATGCTTTTTGTTCAAGGTAGATGCTACAGCATGGCGAATTATGATGAATGTGGATGTACTCATAGAGAATTATGATGATTGTTGATGTACTCATGGAGAATTATGATGAATGTGGACGTACCCATGGGGTTCGATAGCCGATGCAACAAACAAGAATACAAAGTTCTTGTACTAAGCATGCCTATAAACCATCTGTAGATGTCATCGTTGCTGTTCATTTGGTGCTTGATAGGGCTGAAGTCGGAACGAACACATTTATTAAAGTTAATGAAATAAAAATGTCCGTTTCATCGTGGTCTAGAATAGGTTGATCATAGGTGGGAAGTAAAGTGGGAATGTTTTTAAAACAATATTTTGGCCCCATTTTTTTCAGGGATCTCAAAAGGCGTGAATTCAATTCCCGCTCGGTGAAGATTTTACATCTAGCTTTTGTCTTACTGTTGGAACTCCCTTCCACTTACAGACAGCCTAGATAGATATTGATAAAGAGGCTCGAAGCAACACGCTATTATGATAACTATGATAATCTAAATTGTGTTGATGAGGTTCCAACCAATATTAGGCAAGAGGAGGCCAAGGCGTGCACAGCCATAAGATCTAGCTCAAGCAAGGACTTGCGACAGGTAGAACGACCTCCCAACCCATGGTGTTTTTGTTTGCTGTGTACTAAAACCAAGGCAATTGTATAGTTGGCACCAGTTGAGGTTTAAGTGATCCGTAATTGCTATTTTGTATATGATGTTAAAGGGTGGTTAGCGGGTACCTCGGTGCAATTTGATCTTATTTTTTCATGTCAAACATCTATCGTCCGTATATTTTTTAAGGAGAACTGAGTTGCAGCGAGAAAACAATACAATGGTATCTTTTTAAAAAAACCTCAAGCACACACACGCGCGCACTCACACATATAAAGAGAGAGGACGAGAAAATAAAGAGAGAGAGAGAGAGAGAGAGAGAGAGAGAGAGAGAGAGAGAGAGAGAGAGAGAGAGAGAGAGAGAGAGAGAAACACGTTCGCTAAAGGACATGGCGTCTGTAAACAGTTTTATTTCTTATGACTTCTTATGACTTCTTTCGTCTGTCGTAATGTCATCTCAATTGACAGCTGGCACTCTGTCAGTTTACCCAGAAGAGATCATGAGCTAGCAGTATTCAAACAAACCACACCCACCCCTTGCTCAATTATTGCACCGTGCGTCGTTTTTTAAAATTATTATGGGCATTCCACTTAAAAACGAAAATGGATTGTATGGGGTAGCTTTTGATTCCCTTTGATTCCCTTTTATTTGCATACTGATACTATAAAACTGCTTAAAAGTCTCTAATTCTCTTTCCAGACGATATTATTCACAGTCGTAACGTCTTATTAAAAGGCACTTACCCTTGGGATTAGAGGGATTTGGGCCTTACGAAAAGAGACTGAATCAAATAATTATATTCACGTATTTCTGAAAAGTCCTTGTGAAATGTGCGAAACGCGGGAAATTGTATTGGTTTAATGCCCTTGTAACACTGTAAAGTTGTTTAAGAGGCCGGACTTCCAAATTTTACGCCCATCCCCGACGGGACCGAGCCAGATGGGATCATCCATGTCAAGTGTATTTCACATGGACACAATATCGAACCGAGCTGAGACTTGAATCCCTGGACCCAGAATGGCACGATACCGAAGCTGGCGGAAGCAGAAACTCTAGACTACCAACGCGCAGTCGTTCTTTTAAAACTCCAAAGGTCTTGTATCTAAATTCATGCATGTGGATGAATGATGCATTTGATGTAAATGTACATTTTGTCAGTTTTACTTCTCTTTTCATATTGAATTTTAATGAGAGTAATATATAATTAAAATTTTTAAGTATACCTGCAAGTGTTTTTACGGTCCTTCGCATCCAAGGAAAATTTCCCTCTGTGATAATAAAGTACTATCTCATCTTATCTTATCTTATCTTTAATAATATTATTCGGTGTGTTAAGTACACACGATGACGCCTGTCTTGGTCTGACCCTCAACTCTGGCAACTCTCACTACATAATCCAGCTTTTAATTGCATATTTTCATATTAAACGCGTTGCTCAGGCCCTCGAAAAAAATTAATGCTGTAAATCAGTTAATGTTTTAGATTAATTAATAAAGCTGATGAGGAAACCTTGCTTAATAGAGCCAGATTGGTTTCAGAATTTTGAATATATTGGTGATTGGTGAATTCTATCAAAAGTCATTGGCAAAAATACTGGTCATACTTTAAAATGCACGGCCTGTAGTTGCCCGATCCAACCTACCCCCCCCCTCCCCCTCATACTCAACTCTAACTCTCTCTCTCTCTCTATTTCTCTCTCTCTCTCTCTCTCTCTCTCTCTCTCTCTCTCTCTCTCTCTCTC